CTTTCCATCTTTCCAGAGACTCATGTGAACATGCCCCCAAAACCCCAAAACCCCGCAGTTCAAAAATTAGCGCAGATAGAGTATTATATGAATGGATAATGAAGGTTTAAATACTTGAGAAAATGCAGATTTATAATAGTAAACAACAAAACTGTGCAGTTTTCATTAGTGTTCCAATAAGACAAAAATAAAAACAGTTCCAGCATCGCATCATCAACCACAAAACATATATGAATTCAGCAAGTGCTTTTATTAGTTTCAATCTTCTTTTATGGTACAAGTCTTTATTGTGTGATTTTCTAATGGAAACTCTTTGTTTTCATCATTTTCTCAAGACCATCGAGGCAATTCTTAACATCCTTTGGTAATTTCGTGCTCCTTGACAGAGCTCCGATGCTGTTGGATTTTTCCTATGGATACGAAGCACTGCTGCTGGTGCCAAATGGATTTTCTGATTACTCTTCACTCATCTAAATTTACTCAGAGAAGCAAGGCTTCTATTCCTCATGATCTGAGTACTCTTCCTCATCTGAAAGCTACATACAAAGCTCATAGTCATATAGATGAATGTAGCCCCCTAGGTTAAAATTATATATCTACTCCATTTTGAATGCTTCCCTGTTTGGCACACGCATGTCGTCGTATAACTTGAGGCGCTGGAGATAGTTCATTAGGAAAATGAACTCCCTATCATCCTTGTCATCTTTAAAAGGAGTAATAGGAATGCCGTTCGATAGCTAGGCTCCAAATGAATATACTGCATTATCTACTATTATAAGATCCTTCAAATCTCTTCCCTTGAAGACTCTAAGATCTTTGATGTAGACATCACTCGATGTCTTAATACAATGGTCTCTGTAGAGTCTATGCTATATCAACTTTTTCTCTGGGTCGATATAGTCTAAGATTACATCTGCGTAAGATTTTGCACTAGCGGTAAATACCATTACCTCGAAGTCTTCGTTTACCTTTTGCAAACATTCTTTGGTGTAGGGTCTAATATTAACACCAATTCTGGTAATGTGGCCAGACAAACTCTTGATGTCCAGATAAACATCAGGCTCACGCCAAGGTCTCTGTAGTTCATCTGGATTCATTTCATCTGGCTTTGGCTTAGCCTATCTTACATAATGGGCTAAAGTCTCATCAAGATCGAAAATTATAGTTTTCTTTATTCCCGGTTTTGTGTGAGGTAACTCGATCATCCTTGATTCAATATCTTTGGGATCTATATTTTTCAACTCATCCTGGAGAAAGCTGATTGACTGGAAAATGTGTATTGTGAACTCCCTGAAAACTGGTCCCTTTAGCTGGTAGTGCTCGAGAGCTGACTCATGTTCCTCCCCATTATTCCTTTTTCTTTTTCTCGCTCTGTTGTCATAATCTGTCAGAATGTGACTGGGAATTGGTGAGGTGAATGCAGTTATCAATTAATCCAACTCTGGCTGTCCTCCCTTCTCTAAAACCAGAATTTATAAGACACAGACACTTACATTAATCTAGTTGATTTACACATTAAGTCATATCATCATTAATATTTTATTAGGATGCAGATTAAGTCCTGGGTGTGCTTAATTTTTGCTACTGATTCCACGCCTCGGCTTTCAGCTTGATCAGCCTGAGAGTCTCCTTATCTTCAGGGTAGTCCGGCTCTACACTCCATATTAGCTAAATATTAATATTACCTTGTTCAATCATCTATTTCAAATCTATTTCTTGGTCATCTTTTTAAATTGAATCGTCTCTCACTTCTTATACATTTTTATTTAAGGTTGAATATTGTGAGGGCAATGAATCGGTCCTTTGCATGGATTAGGTGAAAGGATTATAAGTAACTGTAAATTACGTTAAGAAATAAGAATTTAATTATAATAATAGCTAGATAGAGGAGCTGTGCTTGAGAAATACTTACCGTCCATAGAGTGAGGATTTATGCAAATTAATATATTTATCTTTATTATTTAATCTCATTTTTTAAAAAGCATTTTATTTATTCAACATCCATGGGGTTTTGGGGTTTTGGGGAGATCGGAAGAGCGTCGTGTAGG